TAACAGTGAGAGGCCCATACTGTAACAGTGAGAGGCCCATAGAACCAAATTTAGCCAGAATAAAAAAGGTCTCAAAAATTTTATTCCATTATTTATAGGTTTGACAGTAAACGGCAAAAAAGTACCATTCGGTAAAATTCGGCAAGACATCGGTGAACGATTTTTACGCCATAATCGAACTTCTGGATTAGTACTACTTCGAGTGTATTCATATCCGTCAGGATTAAGTAACGGAACAACAAACCAATCCATCTCATCAACAAGACGTTGAATTTGGGGATTTACCTCATATTGCGTCACGAGCTGCAAGTGCATGCATTTTAGCATGAAAGATTTGATTTAAATACATTTTGGTGAATTTTATATGAATGGAAAAACAATAACTTGAAGAGACGAAAAATACAATTACTATTAACTAGCAGCAGAAGAAAATTACCAACAACAACAAGAAATTGCAACACTGAAAATCATTATTGGTTAAATTCCAATTGTAATTCTTAGATTTAAACTTTCGTTTCATCTTTAATGCAAATTTATTGTTGGGTAGAATGAAAGCAACATATTAGTATTTCAATTTAATTCCAATTTTTTCAATTACATGTTAATTATAATTTACCTGAGTAAGAATTGAAATCAGATTTGCGAGAAATTTAAATTTGTTAGCTCATCCAGAGAATTTGGTCAATTTCTCCTATTCTTCATCAAATTATCAAAAATTTAGAATTTTTTTTTTTTGGTCGAAATATAAGATGGTTTCAAATTAATTAAATCATTAACTTGATTAAAAGATCTTTTCGCGCAATTATAAATATATATAAAATTAAAAAGTTCATTGAGCAAAATGATTGGTAACTATAAAGCGCTTTTTTGAAATTATTCTTATTTCATAAATTCGTAATAACCAGAAGGAAAATGTTGCATCACGGAATGAGAAAAAATTTTTGCATACGACTATGAATATTTATTGTTGTGATGTATAGCAAAAGAATAGAATGTAGAAAAATTCTAACTTTTTGATCGTTAGCAAGAATTGATAAAAATTTGAGATTTGAGGCATATTTATAAAAGAAGATTTACTCCTTTAATGTACAACATAATTCGTTATCAAAATATCAGAAAAACGAAAATTTAAGTGAAAAGAGAAGAATGAGATTTGAAGAAGAAAAAAATCAAAAATCACATTGCAAATGTTTTAAAATTAATTGAATTGATTCGATTATCAAGGTACATGTCGAAAAGCATTCTCTCGTCCTTTTCAATTATTTTAAATTAATTTAATTAGGTGACTGTTGTCTAATGATTCACGACCAATGTATTTTAATTGTTAAAGGTTAACATAACAGAAATTATGTAAAAGTAAAGAAATTAAACAAATAATTAATTTAATCACATGATTGTCATGTATTGTTTAATTTTTTATTGTGAGATAATTAAAATTTCCCAATTTTTGATTGATAATCAAATCATTATTTTTAATTGAATCCTTTCATTTCTAAAACTGTCCAACACTTATACCTCATAAATTTTGATTTATCAGTTTTTTGAGTGTTAATTTAATACGAAATATAGAGAGTAAGTAGGCTTACTTATACTGTTTAGGTAATATCACGCATCACGTAAGATAGGGAAATAAATAATTTACTTGGTCAATCATATATAATACAGTGGCTGGCGAGACCCATTCACGTGCGTGAATGCCACCATCTATCCAAATACCAGCTTTTACGAAAGTTCTCGGCCTACCAATCTAAAGGTCACATAACCTTTTTATCGAAATTTAAAATTGAGATTACAAAAAATTTAAAAAAAAAGATGCAAACGATCACTCTTACATAATTTCTTATAGAATTAAATTTCGTCGTTTTTTCCAGTTATTTTTACTTCGCATACTTTAATTAATCTTATCGGTCGTTTTTCATGAGTGAGGCCAATAGTCTTCACTGTGGTACGATCTGGATATGCGGCATTTAATTGATCGAGATAGTTGGCAATTTCAGTATATGAATGATATTGAGCCAAATTGAAATGAACCCGACGTAATGATGATGGATCATCTCGTAACCAATTATATTGACGTGACCTATTGGCTTTTTCCCGTAATTTGCTTATTTTCCTATAAATTCGTTATTTTCTAATTAAAAATATTTGAAAATTTTGAATTATCAGAAATGATTAGATTGGTTCACATGAGATTGAGATCAGATTTATTGTAGCGTAAAACATAATGATCCTCGGTTCGTTTATTCTTGGCACATTTTCTTTTTAGCCCTGGGATCATTTTGAGATTGACATCCGCCTAACATGTCAAACTTATTTCAACACTCAAAATTTTAAAAATAAAATTTCAACAAATAAAGGAAAAAAACTCGAAATTGAAATATTTGAAATACCTTAAGTTATCTTATTTACTATTTTGAGTAGCAGAGTAAGAACAGTTTTGTAATAAAGATAATTTAAAAAATTTTTCAAGCTAAAATGCATAATTAATAAAAAACGAATATTTTTTGTTTTTGAAATGTTTAACTTCAGGATGGATTTCAAGAAGTGTTCTGTTGGAAATGAATCATTGGATGTAATTTTATTTTCATCAAATTTTCTGCAAATTGCTTCAAAGACTAATTTAATTTCGCCCTTGGATTTAATTGATTTTTGAAACTGAAAGAAAAATTAAATAATAAAAATTTTGTGAGAAGGAAATTTCAATTTAAAAAAAAAATCTTTTAATGATATTTTTTTCCCATTATTTGCTAAGTAATTTTTGAATTTAATGTAAAATAACATACTCTTCAACATCGCTGATCATAATCGAATATGAAATATTATGTGCTTTCATCGATTTCAGAAATTTATCCTTCATTTCTTCTTGAACCATCACATGCACTTGACCACCGGCTACTTTTGGTGCTTTCCAAAAATCAAGCTAAAATATCATGTTAGAATTGAAAGATTAGCTGAGGAAAATGATGCATGGGAAATCTTTTTAGTTTCAATATAAATTTTAGCACCCCACCAATCTTAAATTGAAATTTCTAAATAATAAAAATTGCTTTTTTAAATTTTGAATTTGAATTTTTAACTAGCAACATTTGAATTAAGCATATTTTATAGAACATAAACACGATAGCCCCATAGACTTAAATATTCATAGGTGGTCATGCTAAAGATAAGTTATCAATTAATTTTGTAATTTCGTATTAAACAAGCTATTCGCTAACATAAAATAATGTTTTGATCAGTCAATTTATATTAGCTTTTTTTTTTGAAATAATTTTGCTTCAAATTTTTGCAATGCATCAGCAACTGATATCATTTAATTCCTCATCCTTTTTTACAAATTACAGAACATTTACTCAAATTGGATTAAAAATTGATGCAATATGAAAGAAAAAAAAATTAAAATTCACTTACCTTAGTATTACTTACTAATAAGTCATGAAGGAATTCCGATTGTTGTTTGGTTACCGGATTCAACCGATATACTGTAAAAGAACTGAATCATCGGATAAACAACAATTTGTTCCTCTGCTTACCTTTTACTGCCGGTAGTTGATGATTTTGTTAAATTTGTTGACAAATTATTTTTTGCAACCGTATCGGTGATCGATGCAAATATGACAGCTAATAGAAAAATAGGCCAAAAGTGTAACCATCGTTTCATTGTTGCATTACTTTTACTTTGAAACATTTCTTCGTATTGTTAACAAATATCGAAGTATCTTTAAACAAGAAAAAAGAAAATTTTCAAAAAATTTAGAATTCACGAAGATTAATTCACATTTGATGAGAAAAAAAGTTTTCAAATTGCACATTATTATCATTGTTACACAATAAAATTTTAAGAAAAAAAGTGTAACATTTTGAAGGTTTCGTTTTCTTTTTTTTTTATTGTTGTAAATGAATGAATGAAAGTTTAAATGAGAAATGCAATTCAAAATCAATTAAAAGTTCAGTATTTGGTACAAATTAAAAAAAAAAAAATGATACAGTTTATAGGCAATTTATAAACTAACAATATTTTTTTATGAAAAAAAAAAATAGATGAACGTATCACAGATTTGCCACTTATATAATAATTAATTTTGTTAGATTTATGACTAAAATAAATTGCTTATTTCAAAATTGAATAATTTAGAAAATATGATTTATTTAAAAGATTGATCTTTGCAAATTATATGCAAAAATTTTTTTTCTCAATTATGCAAAAATGGAATTTTTTTCTTCAGAACAACAAACTTTTCTACTGTTTTTTTTACTTATAACGTTCAAAAAAAAATTTAATTGTAACCTATTAAAAGTTTAAAAATCAAGTCAAACTTTAATTTTATTAAAGTGAAAAAAAAAGTTTTAGAAAACAAAAATCGATGCGCAAAATGTAATAATACGAATTGAGCACAAAATGCATTTTCAACAAACCATCCATTCAATTGGCTGCCAATAAAAGAGAGTGAAAATGTCGATAAAGTAAGGTAAGTTTATTTTGGAGATAGGTAAACTGACTAGCTGACTAACTAAGACCGACGATCGCATTTGATCAAACTGAGTGAATGGAGAT